TTTTTAGAGAAAAGAAGTTGTATACAAAGTTGAGTAAGTGTGGGTTCTGTCTCGAACAGACTACCTTCATATGGCATATCATATCAAGAGATGGAGTGTCAGTGAACTCCGAAAAAGTTGAGGCATTACTTGGTTGGGAGAAATTGACATCGGTCAAGGAGATTCGTAGTTTTCTATGAATGGCAGGTTATTATCGCAGGTTTGTAGAAGAATTTTCTAGCTTAACTGCTCATTTGACTCAGCTCACAAAGAAGAACGTCAAGTTTGAGTGGAACAAGAGCTGTGAAATGAGCTTTTTATAACTAAAGAAGCGATTGACTACTGCACTCGTATTGGCCTTGTCGAGTAGGACATGTGGATATATAGTTTATAGTGATACCTCCTACCTGGGTTTGGGTTGTATTCTGATGCAGCATGAGAATATCATAACCTATGGGTTTAGACAGTTGAAGACTCATAAGAAAAACTATCACACCCACGACTTAGAACTTACCGCAATTATCTACGTCTTAAAGACTTAGTACCATTACTTGTATAAGAAGACTTTTCATATGTAGACCGACCATAAGAGCTTGAAACACATATTCACTCAAGAGGATCTCAACATGCGTTAGAGACGTTGAATAGAACTCCTCAAAGACAACGATTATAACATTTTGCATCACCCGGGTAAGGGCAATGTGGTAGCCAAAGCATTCAACAGAAAAAGTACTGGTATGTTAGCTCACTTAATAGTTTCAGAATGTAGGGTAATAGGGGTCGCACAACAAATACAACTTCAGAACCTAAAGAGAGTTACATACTTGGCTCACTTGACTGTTCAACCTAAGTTGATCCAGAGAATAAAGGAAGTCTAATTTGCCGATTACACCCTAACAGCTCTCAGGAAAGATGCAGAATAGGGAATAAATTCAGAACTTTGAGTCTTTGCCGATGAGTTGCTCATATTTTAAGACATGGTATATGTTCTAGGTGAGAGTGAACTGAAAATGGACATTATGATAGAGGCTCATTGTTCAAAGTTTGTTATGCATCCCAGAAACACTAAAATATATCAAAGTATGCGACCCCAATTTTGGTGGAACGGGATAAAAAAAGAGGTAGCTGATTTTGTTTCTAAATGTCTAGTGTGTCAACAAGTCAAGACAGAGCATCAACGCCCAGACGAGTTACTTCAGCCATTACCAATTACAGAGTGAAAGTGGGAACACATCACAATAGATTTCGTGACAAGATTGCCTAGGATACGATCGGGACATGATGTTATTTGGTCATTGTTGACTGGCTCACCAAGTCTTCTCACTTCTTGGTCATCAAGATGACCGCCCATTGGACAATGTAGCAAAAATATATATCCGAGAGATAGTCAGGTTATACTGAGTGCCAATGACAGTAGTGTCCAACAAGAATCCCAAGTTCACTTCTCGGTTCTGATCTAGTTTTCAGCAAGTTATGAAAACGAAATTGTCTCTTAGTAACATATTCTACCTTTACACCGATGGACAATCAGAAAGGATGATCCGCATATTGTAGGATATGCTTCAAGCTTGTGTTCTTAACTTCGGGGGCAATTGGGATGATCATTTATCTTTAATAAAGTTCACTTACAATAACAGCTACTAGGTAAATATCGACATAGTTCCGTACGAAGCGTTGTATGGCCACCCCTGCAGATCGTCGATCTGTTGGGAAGAGGTGGGTGATAGAAAATTATTCGGCCTAGATATTATGGAGGAGACTATAGCCAAAATAGTTAAGATCAGGAAAAACATACAGACGACTCAGAGCAGACAGAATAGTTATGCGAACACCCAAAGGATGGATTTAGAGTTTGAGGAAGGTGATCGAGTGTTCCTCAAGGTCACATCTTTCAAGAAAATTAGTAGGTTTGGCAAGAGAGAGAAATTAAATCTTTGGTTTATTGGGCCATTTGAGATTTAGATAGAATTGGTACCGCTGCCTACAGATTGACACTACCTCCAAAGCTATTTAGGGTCCATAATGTGTTTCATGTGTCCATACTATGCAAGTACAACTCGGACCCCTTTCACATCTTAACCTACGAGCCCCTTTCACTCCAAAAGGATTTATACTATGAGGAAATACTAGTGGGCATTATAGACCGAAAGAACAGAGTACATCGCAACAAGAAAATTCCCTTCGTTAATATCCTATGGCAGAATCACACACAGAGAGATGTCATATGGGAGCTAGAATCAGACTTCAGAGCTCAGTATCTCCAACTGTTTGATTAAATAAGAGGGAGACAAATTTGAGGGATTAAATTTCTTTTAGGGGGAGAAGTTTGTATTACCCGGGTCCAGAATTTGACTCGAGATCAATTTTAACATTTTAAATATATAAAAAATTATTTTAAAATTAATTTATTTTAATTTTTATTGAATTTATGAAAAAAATAGGTTATGGATGAAATTAAAAATAATTTTAGAAAAAATATGTGAAAATTTGGATTCGGAAGTTATTTTTTAAAGAAAAATTAGAAACTGAGGAGTCAAAGTACAAATAAAAAAAATTTTACCGTGTAGGACCACCCAATCAGCAACCTCAACGAACCGGAGCACGTCACGTGGTAAGGCACGTTGCCATGGGTGCCACACAGGATGCCACTTGGGCGATCCATGTGACCTGTGATCGAATGACCCAGGATCGATCTCGCGTGCGTGGATTGTCCGGATTTGTTTTCTTTTTAAACACGATCGGAAGGTCGAGATCAAATCGTGAAGAACGGTCCAAATTTATTTTTTCCTTAAATGTGATCAGACGGTCGAAATTAAACGTAATGAACGGTCTAGATTAATGCAAAATTGGTATAAATATGTCGCATCACACTAAACCTGAACTCTAGCCATTAGCCTCCTGTCGAAGAAGAAGAACCAATCGTCAGAGTAGGGAACCGAGCACCGACCGCCATCGCACTGGAGCCACATCTGACTGCCAAAAAAGGTAAAAATTCTCTTACCCGCTCGGAATTCGATTCTGAGCATTCCTGTGGCCATATCGGAGCAAAACGAATGGTGGGTGAGCGAAATCGCAGGCAAAACCCGCAACCTCCTCCACTAAGCCTCTTCCCATTTTCTGTTTTGTGCGATTTTTTCACTGTTATATTCACCGTTCTATTTTCCAGCTGCGAAGGTAAGTTGGCGAAGCCGCTATACCTGAAAAACTCCACCACTAGTAGGTTTTCACTTTCTGATTTTTTGGGCCAACCGAAGTCTTCTAACATATTTTTTTGTAGTGATATGTATAAAGACAGTCGAAACTGGCCAAAACTGACCAAAAATGACCAGGCTAAGGCAAATCACTACCGGGGGTGGTGGTGTCGTCGCCGGAGCATGTCGGTACCGCCGTGCCAAAAGTCTAAAATTGGCCGTAAAGAATTTTTAACACCGATTTTAGATTTTTTGAGGTATTTTTAGGTACATAAAGCGTGTTTTAATCTCTGCAGAAAAATGTCAAGAAACCCAAATACCACCAGTAAGCGTAGTAGAAAGTTTGATATTTTAGACACCGATTCGGATAACGATCTCTCACTCTTTTCTCCGTTACGATAAATTG